TCAGTACGCGCTACTCCCTCCTGCACAGGGCGTGTAGCTGCTCTGTCAAAACGAGGACAAGGGAGCGGGATGTGTCTCGGAAACTCTGCTGAGCTGGGAAAAACCTCAACCCGTCCGGCAGGTCCCGCGTGAGGCCTCCAAATGCTACAGGCACCTCGGATCGTGTGCTCGTTTGCACACAAAGCTGTACGCTACAGACCAGACCACGCTGCCTAATCCCGCTCTACTCTCGGCCACCCCATTACCCCACGTCCTCCGTAGCCCTTGTTGGAGATGATGCTATTGGTTTATAGGTTTCCTCAATTAGTGGCCATCTCCCTCCGCGGATCATCTCTATGAAGGCGGAAAGTGCCTTGTTTCCCACTCTGCCCACCAAACCAGTTGGTACCTGGCGGAGCCCAAGACTCAATGGATGAATGACCACGCAGGCGTGGGCCTCCCAAAGGAGAGGGCAGGCAGGCAAAAAAAAAAAAAGAAAGAAAGAAAGAAAACCTAATATCTTTACTTGGGGTTTTGGTTACAAAAGTAATGCATGATTATTATTTTTAAAAATATACAAGAGTCTGGGGGTGCCTGGGTGGCTCAGTTGATTGAGCGTCTGCTTTGGCTCAGGTCATGATCTCACGGTTGGTGAGTTCCAGCCGGCATCGGGCTCTGTGTTGACAGCTCAGAGCCTGGAGCCTGCTTTGGATTCTGTGTCTCCCTCTCTCTCTGCCCCTCCTCCACTTTCACTCTGTCTCTCTCCTTCTCTCTCAAAAATAAAAAAGAAATAGGGGCGCCTGGCTGGCTCAGTCAGTTAAGCGTCCAACTTCGGCTCAGGTCATGATCTCACGGTTTGTGGATTTGAGCCCCGGGTCGGGCTCTGTGCTGACTGCCAGCTCAGAGCCTAGAGCCTGTTTCAGATTCTGTGTCTCCCTCTCTCTCTGACCCTCCCCTGCTCACACTGTCTCTCTCTCTCTCAGAAATAAATAAAAACATTAAAAAATAAAAATAAAACATAAACAGTAAAAACACACATAAGTGTCTGGAAAAAAAAAACTAAAAAATTTATCCCATTCCGTCCATTGCCTCTCTCCAAAGGTAGCCATGGTTACACATGGATGGAGTATCTCTCCTGTGGTGGGGGGCATCCCTTGCTCCCGCCACACCAGGAAGACCCCCTCGGTTCAGGAGACACCTGCTTCTCCCCCTCTCTCCCTGTTCCCAAGAAAGTGTCTGAGCCTCCCCAGAAACAAAAGAGCACAACTTTCTGCGTTCATTCAGGTGCGTCTGCCTCCCCACTCTCCACACCCCTCCCAAGCCAAACAAAACACCCAATGGCTGGGACTGATTAGAATATCTGTGCGCTCCAGAATACAGTGAACTTGAGTGGGGATCCTGCTTGGGGTCTTCACCCTCTCTGAGCCTCAGCCTCTTCTTAAGTAAAAGAAGGATGATTGACCTACAAGTCTGGGGTGTGGCAAGGGTTAAGCGGGCAAAGGCGAGTGTGACCAGGTAGCTCATTCAGGTTAGTTCTTTCTCCCTAAAATCACTCCCCTGGCTGGACTTGAATTGCCTCCAAGTGCTTTTCTTTTGCTAGAGATGAAGAACGACACTTTTTTTCCTTTCTGTCTTTTAAAAAACTTTTTAAATGTTTATTTACATTTTGTAAAAGGCGAAAGATTTATACGATCTGAAGAGAAACCAGAGTATTGTTTATTTACATTTTGAAAGAGACAGAGCACAAGCAGGGTAGAGGCAGAGAGAGAAGGAGACACAGAACCCGAAGTAGGCTCCAGGCTCTGAGCCGTCAGCACAGAGCCCGACGCAGGGCTTGAACCCAAAAACTATGAGATCATGACCTGAGCCAAAGTCAGATGCTAAACCGACTGAGCCCCCCAGGTGCCCTCTATTATTATTATTTTTAAAGTAATCTCTACACCCAATGTGGGGCTCGAACTCATGAGAGCCAGAGACCCAGAGTTGCATGCTCTACCGCTGAGCCACCCAGGCACCCCTCTTTTTGTCTTTTTTTTTTTTTTAACATTAAATTATTCTTGGATACCCCAGCTTCGTCATCTCCTCTCTCTTCCCTTCTCTGGGTTTAATCCTTCTTTCCTCACTCTGCCATCTTGCAAACAGTGGTCTGTTTCAAAGTGTTCTGTTTCAAGAGGTCCAGGGGAGTCTGGCAGAGGCTGGAAGGAAAGAGGGGAACAAGCAGAGGGGCTCCACGCCCCCCGTGCCGCAAGAAGCCACTTTCTGTGCGTGAAGATGGAGCCAAGTTCAGGGAGCAGTTACATAACAGCCTGGCTGTGCAGCTGCTGGCCCGATAACCTCCCTCCGCTAATATTTACTGTGCTTTTTTGGAGCTTGAGCCAGCAGGAAGGAACATGGGCCGCACCCACCCTCCTTTGCAGGGGGCGGGGGGGAGGGTGCCCAGTGTCAGGGTAGTACACGGCCTCCTGGGATTAGCAGACCTGGGCTGGGGTCTCACCCTCCCCGGGGACTGCCTCAGGCAGGGAGCTCGAGGCTCTCGCCATGTCCCTTCCTGTCAATCTGGGGGTCATCGGCTCTGGTCGGACTCTGGTTGGCTCCAGGAGGGCAGATCAGAGAGAGGAGGGAACACATAAGCTCCTGAGAAACAACGTTAGGGATGCTTGGGCCACAGTGATGCCAACTGGGGTGACCGTCATGGAAGCGAAGACGTGGTGGGCCTTGGACACTTGGGTGACCAGCCTTGAGCCTTCTCCCTGGACTGCTTCCACCTGTAGCCCTGGTTGGGACCGATTTTCCCAACCACCTTGCAGCCTGGAGAAAGTTTTCTGGGAGAAAGCGGCACATAGGGGCTGGGGTGCCGTGCAGGGGCCACAGGGAGCACCAGGTCAGGGCTCAGGGCCTGGAAGGACTTGGGATCCATGGCACAACGGTGCTCTGTGGTTCTTGTCTACAACAAGCAAAATCACAGCTGCTTTGGGGGGGGCAGTAATGACTCAAGAATCCTTTTTTAAAAATGTTTATTTACTATGAGAGAGAGCATGCACAAAACAAGGGGAAGAGAAAGAGAGGGAGACAGAGGATCTGAAGTGGGCTCAGCGCTGAAAGCAGAGCCCGATGCAGGGCTCAAACCCACAAGCCGCAAGATCATGACCTGAGCTGAAGTCTGACGCTTCACCGACTGAGCCACTTGGGTGCCCTGGAACTTTTGACAAGAGGGTGAGGATGTGCTTTCTTTCTCTTTCAGATCCTCTACTTCAGCCCCAAAGCAGGAAAGTGGAGGAGGGAGGAGGCGGATCTAAGGTAGAGGAGGAGGAGAAGGCTGAAGGCCAGGTGAGTAGAGGCAGCCAGCAGATGAGGAGGCTGGCAAAGGCGAAGAAGCAGCCCTCAGGGGCCCTCCTGGGGGACAGCTGTACCCCCAGGGCTGACTGTGGTGCATGCCTGGCCGGTGGTGTGGTGGTGAGGAAGAAGATGTAGGAAAGAGCCAGGGGAGCTGAGTGATATTGAGGAGGGGGGCCAAGGGGCAGCCTCGGAGCATCTTCCTTTGGGTCCTCCCCACCCCTGGGAACCAGGAGGACAGCACCCGTCACAGAGGCCCGGCTTTGTTCTCCTTCCTTCCAGTCCGTTTTGGAAACGTCATGGATCTTTCAGCCAACAGTCTCCAAACCAAACTTCATCCCTTTCACTAGCCAATAAAACTTCCCCCATAGCTTTCATCCAGGAAGATGAAAGTGGCTTCTCCAGACACAGAGTCAGCAGGTTTCTAGAAGAAGGAGGCACAGGCTACCCTTCTTGTCAGGCAGCCAGGTCTCAGGAAAGGGGCCCCTCGACTTCAAGATGAAAAACAAGGGGGGCGGGGTCCCTTGTGCAGCCCTTTGAACCCCGGCCTCTCTGGCCAAGGGCAGCCCCCAAGACAGTTAACAAACCAGGCCTCAGCCTCGCCTTGGTTCTTCAGCAAGCCGCTGCCATTTGCTCTGGGGACTGTGTGCCTGTCCCTGGGACCCTGTACCACGGCCTCAGCGGCCCTGCTGGCACCAAATCCTTCTTTCCTGGGTGAACGGAGACCCTGAGAGTCCGATGACCTGTCACGGGCCAGTTAGGGATGGTGGCTCCGTGCTGGGCTGCTTCCAGGCCCTGCCACCCACCCAGGGAGCTGTATGCGGTACCCAGCCAAGAGATGGGGGGGCACCCCACTTCCGCCTGCGGAGGTTTATGAGGCTAACGAGTGATAATGAGTGCGGCCAATTTTCCTTCCACTTCAAAGCTGGAGGGGAGTATGAGGCTGGAGAAAGTGAAACCAGGGCCGCTGTGGCAGGAGGACATGGGCAAGCGGGGGGGGGGGGGGGGGGGGGGGGGGGGGGGGGGGGGGGGGGGGGGGCTGTGCCTTTAGGGCCTGGGCGTCTGGAGTCTGAGGGCAGTCTCAAGGGACAGCTGAGCCTGGCTGTGAATGGGAGCAAATGGGCCCACGGCCCTGGATGGAAACATAGCCAAGTACACAGATGAGCACTGAGGCAGGGACATGTGCACCCACGCACTCCCTACACACGCATGTGCACACACACAGACACACGCACACACACATGGGCACAGGCCCACACAGGCACGCACATTCTGGCGGGCACACACTCACTAACTACACACAGACACGAACAAGCCCAGACACATGGGAACGCTCACACTGGCACATATTCTCTCTCTCCCTCTCTCTCTCTCTCTCTCTCACACACACACACACACAGGCGTACAAGACTGTGCACAGACACAGACCCACAAAGTTATATGTTCCCAGGCACCCACAAGAGATACATGAGCGCATATCTGCATATGTGCAGGCTCCTACACACACACACACACACACACACACACACACACACCCTATAACTCAAACAGCAGCCTCCCAGGCCATTTGAGAGCGTCCTGGCCAGCTGCCCTTGGTGGTTCACCCTGGGCTACGGCCGGGCCCTCCCCCTGCCCCGCCCCGCCCCCCAATTGGTTGTATAAATTCCTTCCCTTTGCCCCAACCCGGGCACTGCGTGCCTCGGACAGCAGCCTGGCCTGTTTCTGCTCACTCCTGAAGGGCCAGTCAGGATCAAAGCGCCCCAGCAAGAGGCATGGGTAAGGAAGGGGGCCTTCTGACAACCCAGTGCCGCCCACCCTGGCCCGAGCTACAGGAAGTGACAGAAAGCTGGCCGGTCTGGGGGAGCTGGGCAGGGGAGAGGGTGGCGCTGGACTGCGCTCCACCGGCCCCGCCCCACCCCCACCCCTGCATTCCCCAGCCCTGCCGAAGTTTCTAGAGGTGCCAGTGGAGGAGGGTGGGGGGACTGTGGAGGTGGGTGGCCCTGGACCCCCAGCTGGCGTCTCAGCTGCAGCCTGGCCTACCCCATGGTGTCTTTCTGCAGCTGGGAATGTCTGTTGTCCCGGGGACACGGTGTGGTTTGAGAACCTCCTGTCCCATGCCTAGCACCTAGCACCGCAGGTGAATGACAGTCCTGATTTCAGCCCTGGGCCAGCTCCTACTCCAGGAAGTGGGGGACCCCCGGCCTTGGGGGCCAGGTGGCTCTGTAGCCACTGGGATCGCTTTGGCTCTGGGCCCCTGGGGCCTATTTCAGCGCCCCCCCGCCCCCCTACCCCAGTCCCGAAGGCCTCCGATCCCTCGTCCTCAGGCTCCAGGATGTTAGGCTGAGGAGGAGTTTGTGTTGGCTTGGGACTGTGGAGGTCCTTGCCCCTTGGAGCAAGCGATGTCCTGGGCTGCCAGAATGTCTCACAAACAGCTAGCCCGGCACTGAGGAGACTCCGGGGGCTTGCCCTGCGTTCATCTTAAACCCATAGATGTCCAGAGATCTTGCTTGAGATGCAAGCATTGGTTCCCAGAAAGAACACTGATGTTCCCGGGAGCCTGGTGGGGGGCTGGTGGGTACCAGGGTCCCACTGACTCTAAGAACTTCTGGGAGGGGGGCGGGGAGGGGAGGCCAGCATAGCCAGCAACACCTCCCTCACACCTTTACCTCTCTCTCCGTCTCCGTTCAGCTTTGTGGAGTTTGTGTCTGTGTTTTGATGTATCGGAGTTTTTTTTTTTTTTTTTAATATTTTTATTTATTTCTAGGAGAGAGAGAGAGAGAGACAGCATGAACAGGGGAGGGTCAGAGAGAGAGGGAGTCACAGACTGAAACAGGCTCCAGGCTCTGAGCTGGCAGTCAGCACAGAGCCCGACGCGGGGCTCGAACCCACGAACCGCGAGATCATGACCTAAGCGAAAGTCGGACGCTTAACCGACTAAGCCATCCAGGCGCCCCTCGATGTATCGGAGTTTTGAGTCTCCTGTTCTGGGTCCGTCAACCTCCTTCCCCTCCCCCTCACCTCCTGTGCCAAGCCCTGGCAGGGCCTCCTTAACCTCTCTGGACCCAGAGAGTGGACCTCTTGCCCCACCCCCAACCACTGCCCAGGGTTCTGCCCCAGCTTCTAGCACAGTCCACCGCCTGTTTATACAACACTTCTCCTTTCAAGTACTTCTGAATACGTTGGCTTATTTGACCTTCACAGGCACCTGGAAAAGAAGGTGGGATATCATTACCTGCTTTTAGCCAAAGCAGGGGAGAAAATGAGAGAGCAGATGTCAGACCTGGTGCTTGAAACCAGGTTTCCGCACTCGACAGCGCCGCCGTGGCCACCTCCTGGCCTCCTAAGCCACTTGGCTGCCGTGAGCAGGGGACCTGGCTTCCTGGCTGAGGGCCTGAGCCCAGACACCAGTGGAGGCTCAACTGGCTACTCCTGCCTCCCTACTTGTGGCCCCCCAGCTGTCAGGGCAGTGGCCAGACCAGCCATGGACTGAAGCACCCCTTCTGTGATGTCCACTCTGGATTTCTTTCCTCTTGCGGCTGCCTTTGTGCTATTCCTCTGCCCTTCCTCCCGGTCTGGTCCCAACCCCTGATGCCAGACACAGGGTCCCAGGAGCCCTCCTTCTCAGAGACTGACTTTGGTCCCGTCGAGCCATGTGGCTTCTCTTGCCAGCCTTCAGGGACAAGGAGGGCCACACCCTATAGCTCCCGTAGGTGGGTCTCTGAGCCCTCCAGAGGGGGACCCGACACCTTACCTTACAGATAAAGGAAGCGGGTCTCCCCCGGAGGTAGAAACTGGTCTATGCACCTGCAGGTGGTAAGAGCTCTGTGGCCCCGAACTTCAGCCTCCTCGCCTTACCAGATCTTCAGTTAGGTAACCAGGCTCTGGCCAGCAGGCTGGGGTTCAGAACCCAGAAGGGAGAAAGGCAGGAAGTGCCGCAGCCCTGGAATAGATACCTTTCTGGGAAGGGAACTGAACGGCACCACCCTCGCTAGCTGAGGAACAGTCAAGGCTGACTGGCTCCTATCAGGCAAGTGCAAAGCTGCACGCTTAACTGCACCTCCTTGTTTACCCCGAACACAAGCCCATTGTGGTATTCTTATTACTTTCTTTCTCCAGATGGTGTGGATACAGAGGCTGGGGAGGTTAGGTAACTCGCCCAAGCTCCTGTGGCTTGAAGCAAGTCCCAGCCAGCAGCTGGGACTGGGACTCAAGTCAATGTCATAGCCACTGTACCACACAGCCTCTGCCGCCCTCCCCTGTGTCCTGCTTGAGAGTCTGTCCACCTTCGGGTCGTACCTGTACAGCTCTTCCGGCCACATGCACATACTCACCGGGGCTCTGAGGGCCAGGGAGGATGGTGGGAGCGACAGTCTGGAGTCGGGCCAGGACCTGGGACAGTGCATGGTTGATAGGTGTTGCAGAGGAGCCCTGACCCTCCAATGGGTGACACAGCCAACACGCCTCATTGTTTTCACAGCTACAAAATGCGGGAAGTGTGGACCGGGCTACCCTACCCCTCTGGAAGCCATGAAAGGTAAGTGTGCAGCGTCTGCAAGCCTGGGCCCCGAGGCAAAGCTGTCACCTTCTACTGGTCCCACTCCCTGCGGGACAGGAGACCAGAGGCCTCAGCCTCAGGCGTTCCCAACGCTGCCCCTGCCACTGCTCTCCACCCTGCCATCCCCACTAACTGCTGTCTACCCTTTAGGACCCAGAGAAGAGATTGTGTACCTGCCCTGTATCTACAGGAACACGGGCATCGAGGCCCCGGATTATTTGGCCACCGTGGACATTGACCCCAAGTCCCCCCACTATTGCCAGGTGAGGTGGAGCTTGGGCACTGGAGTGCCCCGAGTCCCCTCCCCAGCCCCAGCCCCCAGGCGATGCCCTTCCCCAGCCCCATCCTTCTTCGCCCTCCTTGGGTATGGTTGTGTGGGCTGTTCACTGCACAAGGGCACCCCCGAGGGACCAGCCAGTGATGAATACCAGCCAGCGCTGTGCCTCCAAGCCCAAGCAGGGCCAGGGATCACAGCAGCATGGTCGGGGTGACCTCGCGCCCTCTCGCACCCTAGGTCATCCACCGGCTGCCCATGCCCTACCTGAAGGACGAGCTCCACCACTCAGGGTGGAATGCCTGCAGCAGCTGCTTCGGGGACAGCACCAAGTCGCGCACCAAGCTGATGCTGCCCTGCATCATGTCCTCCCGCATCTATGTGGTGGATGTGGGCTCTGATCCCCGTGCCCCGAAGCTACACAAGGCACGTTCCCTGCCCTTGTTGCTCAGGGACCCTAATGGACACACCAGTCTGGGCAGCCCCCAATGAGCCACCTTCAGCTCCTGCACAGGGTCTGGGCTCAGCAGCTGGGAGGGGGAGGGACTTCAGAGGAGAGTCACCAGGGGCTGCGGGGGGTCACCATGAAGAATCATGGGGGGATGGGCACTGGAGGCGAGAGAGGGAAGAAGCCGTTTTCCCAGCCAGTCATGAGCTGAGCACTTCCCTTAGGCAAGAGTCTCTCCCAATCACTCCTCCCAACTCCGTCTTTGTGCCTGGCACTCGCTCCTGATGCCCAAGGTACAGAAGTGATGCTGGCCATGGGCCAGGCTGGGAGGAGCTTCAGGTCCCACAGGGCCACCATAGTGCCTCCAAGACAGACGCTGGGAGGGAAGTCAGAGCTTTCTGCCTGGGAGTCAGTCTCTCGGACTCTCCCTTGCTGCTCTGCAGAAGTACTCCCCCTGGGAAAGTTGTGTTCAAGTCTGAAGGAAAATATGATGGCGTCAGCAGATAGGACTGGGGGATGGAGGAGTCGCAGGTGGGTCCCCCAGCCCTGTAACACCCTCATGTCATCCCTTGCCCATCTCCAGGTCATTGAGGCCGAAGACATCCATGCCAAGTGTGACCTGGGCTATGCCCACACCAGCCACTGCCTGGCTAGTGGGGAGGTGATGATCAGCACCCTGGGAGACTCCAAGGGCAATGCCAAAGGTACCTGTGGGCACTGTGGGCACATCTGTGGGGAGAACAGATCCCAAGCTGAGGGAGCGGGTTAGAATGACCTTCCAGGGAGAACCAGAGGGCTGGGTCTCAGTCAACATTTAAACTAATATCAAGTAACCTCCGTTGTTTCAATGATTTCTATGAAGATGAAACTTGACCGACATATTCACTTAGGAATTACAGTCAGAACAGTCTGCCATGGGGAATATGACACGGCCCCGGAAAACACAGACATTTAATGTCAGCCTTTACGAATTCATGAGCAAGTCTCATAGTACTTGGGGTCCTTCATCTTCATGTTGGCGCTCTCGTTTATGGTACCGTCAGCGCTAACGCTTACAAAATGTCTCCGTGTGCTAGATACAACCAATGAGGTAGGTGCTCCTGGCATCTCTGTTTAACAGCTGAGAAAGCCAGGGCACAGTCTGGGTAAGTGACTTATCCCAAGCCATACAGCTAATAAGCTGGAGAGGTAGAACTCAAACCTAGCAATCCAGATCTGGATTCGGTTACTGAATCACTATACCGAGCCGCTTCTCTCTGACCCTGACCTATTTCATCAGGGCCCTCCAGCTGGGGGCTTGGAGTGGAAAGCAGGTCCTTCTGCCCAGAGATAGGAGGAATGTGACGCTCCCAGATTTAATAACACTGAGGAGTCAACATCTAGTTGTATTTGCAAAGAATTGTCAAGGCGTCATAACACGCTAAGCAAGGGAGAACACATTGGGCATTCGCGTTGAATAACAAGTATTTGCAGTGTGTCTCCTCTAAAAAAAGTACAACTTAGTGAGCAGAGTGGAGCCTCACCTCTGGGAAGAATTCCACACTGAGAGAGGGAGGCTGGGCAGGAGAAGCATGGGGCGCTGAGTCCCAGACTCTCAGCTCAAGGGGACAGAAATCTCCCCTGTGGTCTAGGACAGGGATGAAATTGATGGGGGGTAGGGAGACCACAGCGTGTCCCCACTTCCCACCCAGTCCCCTGGATGGAACCCTTTGGACACCTGAATTGAAGGGGCTGGCAAATCCAGGGAGAGGAACGGGCACCAGGAAATGGACTTGGAGCCTCTTGGACATGCCTGGGGGTGAGGGTGGGGTAGGGGTAGTGTCTCCACTGTTGCTACCTGCCACTTTACTTCCTTCACTGCTCAGGGGGGTTCGTGCTGCTGGATGGAGAGACGTTCGAGGTGAAGGGAACATGGGAGCGGCCTGGGGGAGCTGCACCTATGGGCTATGACTTCTGGTACCAGCCTCGACACAACGTCATGATCAGCACCGAATGGGCGGCTCCCAATGTCTTTAGAGACGGCTTCAACCCTGCTGATGTAGAGGCCGGTGAGAATTGTCCCGCCGCAGGCCAGCAGGAGCCTGTCACACCCCCCTACTTTCCGCCTCTCCACCCCTCTCTGGGCCTCTTACTTCCTTCCTGTGAGCCTGGCTCTGGGGGTGATGGTGTAGGACCCACTGAGCGCTCTCACTTGCTCAAGCACCCTTCTGATCCCTCCAACTGGTTCCTGAGCCTTCTGCCCTGGGCTGTGCCCCAGCCTTTGCTCACGCCACCCTGCCCTGATCCCGAGCCCACCCTCTGGCCCCGGCCCCTCCCCAGGGCTGTACGGAAACCATTTACACGTGTGGGACTGGCAGCGCCACGAGATCGTGCAGACCCTGCCTCTGCAGGATGGGCTCATCCCCCTGGAGGTCCGCTTCCTGCACAACCCAGATGCGGCACAGGGCTTCGTGGGCTGCGCCCTCAGCTCCACCATCCAGCGCTTCTACAAGAACCAGGTGACACGGGTGCAGGCGTCCATAGCCACAAGGCAGCCTTCTCTTGAGGGGTGACCCAAGCCCCTCTGCCCGGCTCTGCTGGCCCGATTTCTCCAGGGACAAAACCCAAGGCCACTTGCCCCACCTATCTTCTCCCCTAAACCCCAAATTCCTGTTCATGCATTGAAAAAATGGCTGTGAGCTCCTGCATCCGGCACTGTGCTGGGTGCTGGGAGTGCAGTGGTGACGCCCACGGCATCCCTACGTTAGGGGCCTTGCACAGGCGTTAGACCCTAGTGGCAAGAGGGCCTTGCATCTACTGTCTCACTGTAGATGGTCGGCTCCGGGGAGACCCAGATCCTGCCCCAAAGCCCCAATCTAACAGGCTCACCTCTGCCTAACCCTGCCCTCCACCTCCCCACACAGGGAGGCACTTGGTCAGTGGAGAAGGTGATCCAGGTGCCCACCAAGAAAGTAAAGGGCTGGATGCTGCCCGAGATGCCCGGTGAGTGCCCAGGGGCGGGCGGGAACCACAAGGCTGTTTCCCTGGGGAAACGAGACTTACAGCCTCTGAATGGTGCCCCGGCCAGGCCTCATCACCGACATCCTGCTGTCTCTGGATGACCGCTTCCTCTACTTCAGCAACTGGCTACACGGGGACCTGCGGCAGTATGACATCTCTGACACTCAGAGGCCCCGCCTCGTGGGACAGGTGGGGTGCTCGCACAATGGGGAGGGAGAAGGGGGAGGACAGAGACGTCTGGAGATGAGGTAGAGGGTGCGGAGTGGCCCAGGGATGATGACGAGGTTCGGGGACAGCAGAGGTGGAGACTGAGGGAGGGTGCAGGCCGGGTAGCCGTGGCCACACGCGAGTGAGGGAGGGCGGGCGTCCCGACTGAGGCGTGCTGCTCTTCCTGCAATGTCCTCCCCTCCCGCCTCCTCCTTGTCTCCCCACCAGCTCTTCCTCGGGGGCAGCATCGTTAAGGGAGGGCCCGTGCAGGTGCTGGAGGACCGGGAGCTAACCTCCCAGCCAGAGCCACTGGTGGTCAAGGTGAGACTCTACCCCCCTCAACCCCAGCCCTGCCCTGCACACCCCCACCCTCCTCTCCAGCCTTTGGCACCCTCCGATCCACGCTGAAGAGGTACGGGGTGGGGGCGGGCTCCATGCCCCTGTCCTAGGACCCGGTGTTATCATGGGGCCTGCCCCCTGGTCTTCCCAAGGGGAAACGGGTGCATGGAGGCCCGCAGATGATCCAGCTGAGCCTGGACGGGAAGCGTCTGTACGTCACCACATCGCTGTACAGTGGCTGGGACAAGCAGTTCTACCCTGACCTCGTCAGGTGAGAAGCCCACAGCCTGGGCCCCCCCGCCCCTGCCCTCCTCTCCTCTCCGCTTTCTGAAGACTCCTGGGGCACCCCGCATGCCTCTACCACAAGGCCCTGCTCCTCCCTAAGGACCCGCCTCTGCATCCCAGCCTCGGGGCAGGGGGGTGGCCACCTCTCACCTCTTCCTTCCCCACTCCCTGTCTCCACCAGGGAAGGCTCCGTGATGCTGCAGATCGATGTCGACACGATAAAGGGAGGCCTGAAGTTGAACCCCAACTTCCTGGTGGACTTCGGGAAGGAGCCCCTAGGCCCAGCCCTGGCCCACGAGCTCCGCTACCCCGGGGGTGACTGCAGCTCCGACATTTGGCTCTGAAGCCCACCCCAGGGTAGCTCCTTTCCACCTCTGAGCCCTCACTTCCTCCAAGACCCGCCCTCGCTCTGCTCCCTCCCGGCCCCCAACACTTTGCAGACTGTCCCACCAAAGCCAAACTGAGGCTGTCGGAATGTATTGAGTGGCTGCTTCATTTACTGACCACCTGTTGCATGTGGCTCACTTGCTGTTTTTACATGAACACTTGAAAGTTATTTTACCAAGAAATAAACTGCTGAACCTAGTCCTTACATTCCCTTGTCCTTGGGGACACAGAGTCTGTGACCCCGCTTCCCCTGATCCTTTGTGTCTTGAGTCCTGGGAGGGGGGAAGACTACTTCACACCAGTGATTACAATGTGACGTTAAAGGTGCCCAGATCTCACTTTTATGGCCAGACAGAAGGCGAAGACTTCAGAGGTGGTTGTCACAAGGAAGGAGACCTTAGGGCAGAGAGTGTCCACTGGTGTTCCTATTGTTTTCAATCCATACTTTCTTTAATGAGTAAAATCTCACCTGCCATCCCTTCACACACGGGGGACACCCCAGAGCCCAGCATACATAGGGCATTCTGCTGGCGAGACTCCTGGGAAGACACACAGCTGTCTCTAGGTGAGGCGTGTCCCCTCCCGCCTGGAAGACAGGAAGGTGGCGGGCAGGAGGGCTGAGAACTTCCAGGTGGACCAATCTAACAGACCAGGCCTGACGCTCTTGTCTCCTCATCTGGATGGTGCGTTAGGACCCTGCCCAAAGCAGAGATGTCTCCTTTCTCTGCGCTAGGGCTTCAGTTCTTTATAAAAAGGATGAGATGGAAGTTTCAGGAACCTAAGAGAAAAGCTAGGCAGTAATTCTAGCGACTCCTTTACTCTTTACCCAAGACAATACCAAGCAACGTACAGGTGACAACCTACATTCCTTTCCACCTTACATCAAGGTGCCTTGTTTGTTGTTTTTGCTTTTGTCTTTTAAGTTTATTTTTATTTATTTTGAGAGACAGCAAGAGTGAGAGTGGGGGAGGGGCAGACAGAGAGAATCCCAAGCAGTCTCTGTGCCACCAGCCCGGAGCCAGATGTGGGGCTCGAACCTATGAACTGTGAGATCATGACCTGAGCCGAAGATGGATGCTTAACGGACTGAGCCACCCAGGCGCCCAGAAGTGTCTTATTTTAAACGCTGGAGTAGGGACACCTACTCTCTCTGTGTCTCCCTCTCTCTGTGACCCTCCCCTGCTCACGCTGTCTCTCTCTCTCTCTCTCTCTCTCAGAAATAAATTTAAAAAACATTTAAAAAATGTAAACACTGGAGTAGGCTCGGATTCCCAAGATGGCCAGGGCACCCTAAGAATGTAACACATTTTTTTCCTTTGGGGTCTTTAAATCTGCTCCCTGAAACACCTGCCTCAACTTAGTCCTGATTCATCCCCCTGCCTTCCTTGCCATCTGGCCAGCTTATCATATCCTTTCGAGAGCTGTCTCCTGCACTGACTCCCCAGGGTGGGGCCCTCCTGTGCTTAACCTCAGCACAGACAACAGTCACCATATATTGAAACTGCCTGCTTATTCCCAGAACCTGGCTTACACCCTAGCACACAGTATGCTGTAATAAATGGTAAATGAATAAATGAATGATAAATATGATAAATGAATATAAAGGAGGTATGTGCAATGAGTGACTTAGAGCCTTGGGACTTAGTGGGTCTTACTAGATGTTTCTCTCCTAAGTTTCCTCCCTGTCCTTTTCAATAACCGAACTGCTTCAGAAAGAAAAAGGATCATATAGTTCTACATCATATCTAAATATTTCTAAAGGTCTGGGGCCCCCAGGTGGCTCAGTCAGTGAAGCGTCCGACTTGAGTTCAGCTCAGGCTGTGAACTCATGGTTTGCGAGTTCGAGGCTCACGTCGGGCTCTGTGCTGACAGTGTGGAGCCTGCTTGGGATTCTCTGTCTCCTTCTCTCTCGGACCCTCCCCTCCTTTCTCTCTCTCAGAATAAATAAGCATTTAAAAAAATTTAATATTTCTAAAGGCTCAAAATTCCATTCAGTGAAATGAACCTCAAACACTAACCTTGCCAGAATCTATGAAGACGACAGGGGTTAGATCTAAAGGACATGAGCCCTGTCTGACAAACGACTTGTATCCAGAATACAAAGCTCTCAAAATTCAACAGTACAAAGTCCTAAAATTCTGCTTTGGAAATGGACAAAAGATGTGAACAGACATCTCACCAAAGAGGATATAAAGATGGCAAGAAAGCACATGAAAAGATAATCCACATCATCAGACATCAGGAAAATACAAATGGAAGCCATGCAGTATCACGACACACCTATCAGGATGGCTAAAATAAAAAAATAGTGATAGTACAAAAATGTTGGCGAGGATGGGGAAAACCTGGATCACTCAGACATTGCTGGTCAAAGTGTAAAACGACACAGTCACTCCGGAAAATACTTTGTCAGTTCCTTATAAAGATCAAACACGGGGCACCTGGGTGGCAAGGAGCCTGCTTGGGATTCTCTCTCTCCCTCTCTCTCTCTGACCCTCCCCAGCTGGCACTGTCTCTCTCTCTCTCTCTCAAAAAAATAAATAAATAAACTTAAAAAAAAAAGACCAAATATGCACTTATATGCCCCAACAATTGAACTTTTGGGCATATGTCCCAGAAAACTGAAAGTGTATGTTCACACAAAGATCTGCACACAGTTGCTCATAGCAGCTTTACTCGTAATAGCCCAAACCTGGGAACCATCCAAATGTCGTTCAGAGGATTAATGATTAAACTGCTATCGCCATAACACGGACTATAATAGTCAGCAATAAAAAAGGAATGAACTATGAGTACACGCAACAGTCTGGATGGATCTCAGGGGAATTGTGCTGAGTAAAAAAAAGCCAATCTCAAAAGGTTACATTAGTATGATTCAATTTATGTAACATTCATGAAATAACAAAAGTACAGAATTGAGAACTGATTAGTGGTTTCCAGGGGTTAGGGATGGGACTGGGTGTGTGTGTGTGGGGGGGTGGCTATCAAAGAGTTGCACAGGGGATTCTTGTAGTGATGGAACTGTTGTGTATCTTGACTGTTGTGAGGTCACACAACGCTACAATGTGATAAAATTGCAGAGAACTAACTCTGCACACACATACATATGGTTGAGTGTACTTAAAGCTGGTGAAACCTGAGGAAATTTGGTGAGTTGTATCAATGCCAGTCAGTTTCCTGATTAAGATATAGCACTATGGCTATGCAAGGTGCGCCGTCAGGGAAACTGGGTGAAGGGTACATGAGATCTCTCTCTCTCTCTCTCTCTCTCTCTGTATTATTTCTTGCAACTGTAAATTATCTCATTTACAATGTGAAATTTATAATGTGAAACTATAATTATCTCAAAAGAAAAAACAACACAGAAGTCAACATGAAGGAATTCCACTGGCCAAAGATGGGACAATTTTGAGTTTCAAAAAAGAATAATAATTGAAATAGATTGAAATACAAGACCTATGTTAAAATCTAGAAGTTCATGAAAACACACATAGAAAAACTCTAATTGGTCATGTTTGAAAGATACTAGAAAACTACCTTGTTATTCTGAACACTGAAGAACAAAGAGAAAGAATCGAGTATTTATCTTGCTTTTCCTCAGGAATCCACCTTAGGACAACCAAATCATGGATGAAGTAAAGTTCTGTAAGGAATTTCAGCCAGTACCTTAAGAAGGAATGATGGAATCTGGATAACACCAACTTGTAACTTCTAGTGACAAATGGGCCTAACCAGTGATCATCTGTGGCTGCTAAAACCATTAAATGAAACACGAAAATGATTTTATAATGGATAGAGCTGACTGGCAAAACCTGAATGCCCTCATCAATCTGCATCACAAAAAGAGTAATGACCAGGCGTTATATGCCACCTATGAAGTATTCTTTAGAAACTTTTTTTAATGTTTTAAAATTATTTTTGAGAGAGAGACAGACAGACAGACAGAACACAGGCAGGGGAAGACCAGAGAGAGAGGGAGGCACAGAATCCAAAGCAGGCTCCGGGCTCTGAGCTGTCAACACAGAGCCTGATGTGGGTCTTGAACTCGATAACTGTGAGATCATGAACTGAGCCAAAGTTGGACACTCAACCCACTGAGCCACCCAGGTGGCCCTGAAGTATTCTTGCCAAAAAATCAAAATGAATCTGAACAAGTCTCTAGATCTCACAATCAGTTTACAGGAAATACAGGAGACAGAAGAACAAGTTTTAAAAGTCTAAAAACATGACAAAGATGCAATCTTAAAAATGAAGAATGTGGGAGATTCTATAAAACAAATGACTTGTTCCCTCAATGAATAAATTGAAAGAGAGAAAGATTTAAGAAACACATCGACCAAAACTAAATGCAATGCAGTGTGTGGATCTTGTTGATACTGATTTGAACATAACAGGAAACACATTTTTGAGAAAATTAGAGAAATTTGGACACGGCTGCTCAATGATAATAAGAAATTATGTATAATTTTTTAGGTATGATAATGGCATTGGGACTATGTTTAAAAAGAAGTCCTTATTTTTTAGACATACTGAAGTATTTACATGAATACTAACTTATTTACAGATGTACTGATATCATGAGTGCCTCCGTGAAAATGACCCAGAGCAGGTAAGTTGGAGAGTTGAGGAGGTAAAACAAGATTGACCAGATGTTTTTAATAATTCTTTTTTTAAATTTTTTCTAATCTTTATTAATTAAGATAATTTTTTATGTTTTTATTTTATTTTGAGAGACAAAGACAAAGAGTGAGCTGGGGAGGGCCATAGAGAGAGGGAGACACAGAATCCAAAGCAGGCTCCAGCTCTGAGCTGTCAGCACAGAGCCCGACATGGGGCTCGAACCCACGGACCATGAGATCATGACCTGAGCCGAAGTTGAACGCTTAACCGACTGAGCCACCCAGGCACCCCTGTTGTTAATAATTCTTAAAGCAGGATGATAGGTAAATGTATGTGGAGGATTATATTCTTCCTTCTTTTGTATGTTTGAAAAGTTTTCATAATAAAAACTTTAAAAAATTCACCTGTTTCCTGATCCTGGACTCAAATCCCTACTTCTGATCCTGCATCACTGAAACAGAAACTCCAAAACGAAGACAGTACCTCCTGTCACAGATGACCCAGTCACCAGCAATATGTGACCCAATCTTCCCTAATCCCTGTTGTGCCCTCCCTGACAGGGCCTCTCTGTTGTACTCA